CCATCAGTTTGAGAGACCATCCTTTCAAACGGGATGCTACAAACGGTGCAGTAAAAATATAAACAAACTTACGTTGGTTTCAGAAATAATTATTTCATCAATTTTATTGTGACTTTTATGATTATTACTATAACAATCATTCATGTTATAACTGGAAGCTCTTTGTTACAACTCAATATACTTCATAAACTTAACCTGGTTTTAATTAAGCTCCATATGACTTTGATATTTTGAGGTTGTTGTTATAACTTGTTCATCAATGTTTTTATCTTCAACATATCTTTGCAAATGAAGATGAAATAGGAAGCCAGAGCGATCAGGTATTAGAAAATCTAAAGACTTTCCTGTCTCAGAAGAGGCTGTGACTCCACCAGATCAACAACCAGCTCTGAGGATGAACCTCCACATCGTCTTAATGATGTAAGTTTGTTTTTTCAATGAGGAGCTAGCTACATTTTCAACAACAAAAACTGCTGTTACCAACACTAAGTGCTTAATAAACATGATTTGATTTAAAGGTAACTGGAAAGAATTTTTCCCCTTGTTAATCTAACATTTCTCTTTCATACATTTTATTTGTTGTTGACTTTCAGGGCCCTGTGATGGACTGGTGACCTGTCCAGGGTGAACCCTGCCTCTCATCTGATGGCTGCTGGAGATGGGCACCACCAGCCCCCCTCACCACCCTGCTAGGATCAGTGTGTTCAGATCATGGATGGAAAGATTTTAAGGTAGTTTGTCTCCTTAAGTCCACACTTAAAACAGCTTCATAGTTATTGCCAACATCAACTGATTCTATCTGACTATTTTTTTTCTACTTCTAACATAAACAGGCAAAAAAGACACCCAGAAATGATTTTCCACACAAGGCACCTGGTCCCAATCATCATCACTTCTGATGATGTCACATACACAGCGAGTCCACAACGTCTTAAAATTGTAAGTCTCATATTTTTGTTGCCTTTTTTCTGTACTCTTTAAAATACAAATGCATTCTCTGTTTAATTGCTCTTTTGTCATTTTTTGTAGGTTTCTGTAAAGTGCAGTGGTGCAGTGAATGGGAATGTTCTGTCGTTGATCCTCACTGTTCTTAGGACGGAGAAATGTCAGTTTGTCTGGAATATTGTGACATTGTATTAAAACAATATTCTGTCCTTGGTGAAATATTTTTCATATTTCCTCTAAAGTGTGCCTATTGTTTTATTGTGCTAATTTTCATAAGCATGTTGGCTGTAAACTTTGAATGTATTGACAATTTGTACAATTCTGTTATAGTATGTTGGCTCTTGAAAAAATGTGGGTAACATTTTATTTGACGGGGTGTGCATAAGACTGATAAAATATTGTCATAAACATGACATATCTCCTGCTAGGAACATACCAACAGGGTCATGAAGTGTCATTCAGTAAATAATGACAATTTTAATGAGAAGTTGCTTTAAAAGTTGGATGAAAGGTTTTATGTTATGTTTATGACTGTGTCATGTCAGTCTTATTATGCACACCCCATCAAATAAAGTGTTACCAAAATGGTAATATATTGAAAGCACAATGTAATTAGTTTCACCTGTAAAGTGTGTTGTAATGGATCCTTCTGTGTTCTGGTAGCCTGATGTGGTTGCAGTACTGATGTGTATATGAAGGATGTAATGTACAAAGTGGCAAGGAAGAATTATTATTCTTAAGACATTAAGAAACAAAAAAAGTGTACTTCATTAGCAATTATAATAAACCAAAATTGTATTTGTAGGATACTGTAATCACACTACTAATATATTAAATATGTATTTACAATATACTTAAGATACAATCTAAGTATATGTTAAATCTAATTCAATGTTAAATCTAATTCAATCACTAAAATAGTACACTCAAAATATACTTATCAAACACGTTTTTAGTACATGTAAAACAGTACACTTAAAGTACAGTAAGTACTAATGTTTGTCCAAGAAAAGTACGTTGAAGTATGCTTAGTACACTTTTAGTGCTTAAGTACTACTTAAATACTACTTAAGTACACTAAGCACCAAATTAGTATTTCAAAAAAGTCACACTTTAAGTATACTAATTCTAAGTATACTTGAAATATACTCAAGTATGTTAAAATTTAACATACTTAGTACACTAATTTTTCACCTGGGTAGTCCTGTAACAGATTCCTCAAGTTGTTTGATATATAATAAGACAACATCAGATCTTTACAAATGACCTCTGGCGGAATTGGTGAACAAACCAAAACACTGGCCTGAACTCACATTTACTCTCAACACCACTACAATTTTTAAAGCCAACTGAAATAAATACTCAATCTGCCAATTTAGAAAAAAACAAAGTCAATTTCCTTAAAGTGGGGATATTTCGTAAAATTTAGCTTTTTAAGATTTATATCATGTTATAATGTTATGTCCTCATCGAAAACATACCTGGAGCATTGCTTTGACTGCTTCACGCATGTCTGAGAAAGCCTTGAATCACCTATGGCAACCATTCAGGGGAGCCTAAACACTTGCTCCAACTTAGGTCTGCCTATTTTCACAAAGCTCTGCCACAGAGCTACAGTAACCAGCCAAGCTTTGGCCTCACAGAGCACATCTTTCCTACTCAGCTCCTCCAGACTAGCGGCAGCAGCAGTTAGCAAACACCTGGTAGAACTGAGTCTACAGTTCTACCAGGTATGAACAGCTCATCATACGAGTTACTTCTAAGCCCAATGCTCCAAAGAAGGGGTTCAAACAGCATAACGGAGGAACATTTTTGTGCTGAAGCACTACATTGATCAGAGTTTTGCAGCCAATTTTCAATAACTGCAATTCCTCCTGAAGAACCACAATATAGGACTGCATACCATTTAAACTGACTTTTTTTTTTCAATTTTATATGAAAAACATAATGACATCACATCAGGCACTGTAAAACAGGATTTTAACATTTTAAAACAAAGAAATAAATGACATAGTTAACGTTTTCAACTTTCTACAGCATCTTACATGGACAATTAGCATGATTAGCACAACAAGGTCAGCCTTCCTACTATCTGCTGGAAGTCTTACCCTTTTTCTCACTGCTTGAATCAACAACAGACATGTCTTGAGATATTGCATACTCTTACCTTTCCTTTTAAATAGATTCTCATATCTCTGAGCGTCTCCTAAATTGAATTTTTAACACAGCTCAGCATGTTGAAAATAGCCAACCTTATATCTTCCTCCTGCAGTAACAACTTCAACAACAAAGTAAAAAGCAACTAGAGCAACAAAAAAAAAGTATTGGATAAAAAGCCAGAACATCTTCTGCTGAACTCAAGAACCGATTGAGTTAAAAATCTTCTGCTTCCTGTCACCAACTAGTATTTCTGTCCATATTTAAAATAAACTAAGTAGAAACAGAATAAGTAGCAAGTGGCAGAGGGGGTTTGCGTCACACACATCCTGGTTTAGGAAGATGGGACAGCTTTGTTGGACAATTTAATCTGACAGTAAAAAGCTGTTCCTCTGCAGAAATGCTGCTCTGACATACTTCACAAAGCGAAAGCTTCTTGCAGCCTCACCACAGGAGAAGGCCTTGTAATTATAAACTGTGAAATTGCTGAAATTAACCTCCCTATTTATGTTGTGTACAACAATTTTAACAAAAATTCTATAAATTATCTTTTATACTGTTATACTTTAATAGCAAGCAGTTATTTGTGCAGATATGCTAGAGGTTAAACATTTCATATAACAATATATAAGTGAGTTTACAATGTCTTCGGTACCTTTTTGGTAGCAGCATTAGTAAAGTTAACTGAATATTTCTTCTACACAAATCCCAACATTTGAAAACACAAAAGCAGGTGTGCAAGTCAAATCCATGTGGACCAGAAGGAAGTAGTGAGACTGTTCAGGTCACAGCAGGTGAAATGTTCATATTTTAAGTGCAATCATTTAATTTCACTGTTTAGATGAGATTATTGGTGCTAGAGTCAGTGGTTTTTGTCACTGGAGATAAAGAAAACACATATTCATCTGCTTAAAGTGTGATGATACAATGTAGAAATAAAACGGCTCCCAGTCAAAAAGAACCAATTAAAGCCAGGAGGAGAGACTTCCACTGTCGATCATGCTCGTTTGTGCTAATGTGCTAATAACAGGAAAACAACTTGATTACAGGAAAACTGTTTATCTGCAGTCATGTTGCTGTGGCCAGGCTAACTAGCCTTAGCATCCACAGCAGGCTCCGTCGTAGCTCTAGTGTGGCAAAGAGGAAGGGAGGGGTGTGAGCAGAATGCACAAGACTGTAAGCAGGGCTAAGACTGGCTCTGATTGGTGATTTCTGATCGGGAGGGTGTATTGTAGAAGGTGAATTATCTGCCTCATGTTATACTGTCATGACATAGTGACAGTTATATTATTTATAGATGTTACCTACTGCAGCTTTAATAAATGTTCTTAAAATTGCATGATTAAAAAAATAAAAAATACAACGCAATATTTTGTTACTGCAATAAAATATCCACTCATTTTAAGGCTTTTGAAGAATGGCGTTAGAATGTGAATGTTACTGTAGAGTCCTGTGTTGATTTTAAAGCTGGAGAATGTAATATTCACAACATAGTCCATTCATTAATATATGTCCCAGGATTGAAATGTTCCAATTTTTAAAGCACACCTCGATCCAGCTCAGGTGGTGGAACCTCCTCACCAGCTCCACGCTGGCACAGGAAGAGGCTGTTGTTTGACACACAATATTGGACAAGACATGGAACATTTAGAAGAGGATGGAGAGGGTACCGTCGCACCAGACTTGCCAGCTGTGATAATGATGTATAATTTAATTGAAGACAGTGCTTCTATCCTCCACAGAACCCAAACTACTCTTCCCTTGTAAATGCATTATTCAGGCTAATGGTGACCCTGAAATAGAAAAAAGCTTCTTATCTCTTTAAAGTTTTATTGGAGAGAGCAAAGAGAGGTAAGAAGGTATATGGAGAGAAAGAGAGCTAGAGTGAGGTAGAGAGTCACAGAGAAGTTGAAAGAGCTCACCGAGGTGTAGTTTCATCTACTGCCTCACTTCGTGAAAGCTTCCTGTTTTTGACCATGACAGCAACATTTTCCTAGCAACGACAGAAATTCCTTCGGACAGAGAAGCTGATGTGAGTGTGTTATAAACTGCGACTTCCATGGAAATGACTTTCTGCAAAACGAGTGACTCAGAGTAAAGGAAGTTTCATAGATAATCTCACAGACTAAATTGCTAATGTTTCACTTTAACTTGCCAGATAGAAAAATAAAAATAAAAAACTTGTGCACCATCACGGCCGTTACAACAGGAGCCATCTTGTCTGAACAAATGAGAGAGATGAGCGAGAAGGACAGATACTCCACACAAGGCAAGCAGCCATGCATGCACTATTATACACAAACCATCTTCATATGTGAGCCAGCAGGTCCTGTGCATCAGCTAAGGCCAAAAAAATTAAATAAAACAGTAAATGAGTTTGCAGTCATAAAACAATCAGATATCTATCCATCAAGCTGAGGTTGTCACATTTGCTGTTCGGGAATCACCCATTTAAAAAACTGTTATTATAAAGTGTCATTTCCTCTGCAATTAGAGGATGCTTCATTAGAAGTCATGTGATGGTGATGTGGCAATTAAACTGTGATGGGGATGAAAAGTGAGTTGATTTGATGGGGGGTTGGGGGGAAGAGTGCAGCAACTAGCAATGACACTCAACCCAACAACCTAATCATTGTCATAGTGTGTAATTTCCCAAAATATGTCATCTTTCCCCAGACTAATCACGGATTTTTACTTCCTTTCCTTTTAAAATAATGATAAATTAGGAAGTAATTTACGTATTTACTTCTTGTTACTACTTCAATTTAAAGAAACTTGGTTAACACTGATCATTTCAATAAAAATCAGTATGATTGTGTCAAAAAGCTCCATACACATAGTGTAGATAGAACTTTCTCTCATGGGTAGGAAGAAAAAAAAAAAAAAACAGCATAATCAGTTAGCTAACCAGTCGACCTTGCTCTGTGCAGTGTAGACTTGAAACTCAGCATTAATGTAATGAGATCAGCTA